ACCTGCTCTGGCGGCTGGGGGCGGGGGAAGCTCCGGCTTCCCCCGCCCCCAGCTCCTGCAAGCTCCGGGAGCAATGGCAAAGGTGCGCTCACCTTCGCCATCGCTCTCGGACCCTTTCTGGGGGCTGGGGGCGGGGGAAGCTCTGGCTTCCACCACCCCCAGCTCCTGCAAGCTCCGGGAGCAATGGCAAAGGTGCGCTCACCTTCGCCATCGCTCTCGGACCCTTTCTGGGGGTGGGGGAAGCTCTGGCTTCCCCCACCTCCAGCCCCGCAAGCTCTGGGAGTGATGGCGAAGGTGCGCTCACCTTTGCCATCGCTCTCGGACCCTTTCTGGGGCTGGAGGCGGGGAAGCTCGGGCTTCCCCCACCCCCAGTCCCGCAAGCTCCGGGAGCCACTCTGGCTCCCATTCTGGGGGCTGGGGTCGGGGGAAGCTCGGGCTTCTCCCGCCCCAGCCCCGCGTCTGGGGGGGGAAAATAATTTTTTCCCCTTTATTTCCCCCCCAAAATCTAGGTACGTCCTATGGGCCGGTGCGTCCTATAGGGCGAAAAATAGGGTAGTCAATATAGGCACAGAGTTAATTTTTTAAACATTTTCTAATGGTGGTGTGCCTTGAGATTTTTTTCATGAAACAAGTGTGCCTTTGCCCAAAAAAGGTTGGGAAACACTGCTTTACATAATATAGCAGGATAGACCTCTGCACTGAGGAGCTTACAATCTGTAAATCAGCACAAGAGAGACAACGGAAGAGAAGGTGGGCACTGGAGGCAGGAGTAAATAGGCTTTAAAGATCAGCACCAACACTTTGAATTGTGCTCAGAAACGCACTAGGAGCCACTGAAGATTTTTTGGACCGGTGTTATATGGTCTCGGTGGCCACTCTCAGTCACCAGTCTAGCTGCCGCATTCTGGATTAGTTGTAGTTTTCAGGTCACCTACAAAGGTAGCCCCACATAGAGTGCATTGCCGTAGTCCAAGCGGGCGATAACTAGAGCATGCACTACTCTGGCGAGACAGTCTGCGGGCAGGGAGGGTCTCAGCAAGCGTACCAGATGTAGCTGATAAACAGCTGCCCTGAACACAGAATTGACCTGCGCCTCCATGGACAGCTGTGAGTCCAGAATGACTCACAGGCTGCGCACCTGGTCCTTCAGGGGCACAGGACCAGGGAGTCCTCCACACCTGCCCCACCAAAAACTTCTGTCTTGTCAGGATTCAACCTCAATCTGTTAGCTGCCATCCATCCTCCAACCGCCTCCAGACACTCACACAGGTGGGCACAGCTGGGTGAGACCAACTCCACCCTGTTCACCCACCCAGTTTCAGTGATACATGCCAGATCAGCCTCCCCATCCATAATCAGATCAGGGATGAGGGAGATTTTATTCTGGGCTCCCCTGGCGCTCAACAGCAGCAGTCACAGACCTGCGGGCTGCCCCAGGTTGGAGGAGGGGCTGGCACACGGCTGTGTGCCCCTCACCCAGCCTGCCCCTCCTCCCTCACCATACCTCCCCCTACTTAGAACCCCTGTCACTGGGCCTCCCCCTGCTCTCCCCCGCTCCTCTCCTCCCAGGCCCATCCTATCAAGCGCCCTTACAAAACAAGTATCCAAGTCATTTGGAGTTTTAAACTTATTAATTAAAACATTTCTGTACTCCTTTCCCATATTCCTTTCTGGCAGGGCTCATGCACTTTTAAAACAGCTATAGATCTGCATTTCCTCAAGACAGAGAAGTCTTTGCTTGCTGAATTTCTGCTTGCCAGGAAGCGAGCTATAACAATACTTAACTATTTTAACAGTAAATATTTCATAGTTAAGCGGATCGAAAGCCCTGCCAGAAAAGGAAAAGGAAGTGACTCCAGATCCAACCCAGCCACTCCATATTATAAAGCAATACTTCCTTCTGGTGGGTCAGATTACTGGGTGTGTCAACAGATTTCTATCCCAGGGCAATTTAGCACATACAGCTAAGAAAAGAACTTTATATGACTTAAAGGGTGTTTCCATAACAGATAAGATTGTGTTAAATCCACTGAGGGCAAGGGGCGGGCGGGCTGGGATCCACACCCTTCTTTTAAAAAACAGCATAATTACCTGATGTGTGAGACAGAGTCACACATTACATTATTATTAATACATCACACTTAATTTTCCTGGGGGAAATGTGATGGCTGAATAAGCCATTCTAAGAACAATATCCTGTGATTTATATGGCATTTCTCCTAATGCTTGAAGAATCTGAAGGACTAACAAGTTGAGGGGAAAGCCATAAGAGATCCTGACAAGACAGTAGCACAGGGGTGCTTCTCACTGGCCAGGAAATGGGTGTGCCATCCATTCCAGATGGCCTTGCACTGAAAAAGCAGGCGCACAGCTGAGGAGACTTCTTGATCCAGGATCATACCCTTCAGCAGCAGCGTTGCATTTTCTGGACAGGAATAGCTTGGCTACAGTGATCCATGCTCCCCCAGTTGCTTCACAGTGTTTACATACGGCTGCCCGTGAAGACGTCCCAGAAGTCGCAACCAATGCAGAATATAACAGGCAGAATGCAAAGTGCCACAGCTAGATGGCATCATATTATTCTCAAAGAGCTGTACTAGTTACCTATTCACTTCAGAGCCCAGTTCCAGGGGGGCATCTTTACCTCAAAGCCCTCAATGACTTAAGACCCAAATACCTCTCCCCATTTCAATCTGCCCAGGCTGGCCAAGAATGTCCACAAAGGCCTTCCCAGAATTCCTTTGCCAAAGGAGGTGCACTAGGCAGCAACAAAGGAGTGGTGCCCCAGTTGTGTAACACCCTTTTAATTTGCCCAGGCATTTAAAATAGTCATCATCCTATATGTCTGCTCTCCTACATTCAGTGTTTCAGAATTGGTTTTACTTATTTCATTTTTTGTATGGTTGCATTTTATTCTGGCATGATTACTTTAGTCATGTCCATTGGGTGCTGCCCTGATATTTGCAAAGATGAAGTGCAGTTCAAAAACATTTTACATAAAATTATTTAACACTAAGAGAACTATAGTTTGTGCCTGTTCTGGAGCTCATTCATTCACTGATGGGCAGGGTTTGTCACTTTCCACTTCTGCACAGCTTACTTGGTAGAGCATGACTCTCTTAATCTCAGGGCCACATTGGGCAAAAGATTTCTGTATTGCAAGTGGTTGGACTAGATGACCCTCGTGGTTCCTTCCAATTCTACAGTTATATGATTCTAAGAATCTATTTCTTAAGCACCATTGACTATTATTAATGTGTACTGCATCACACCTCTGACATGAACTGGCTAAGCTGTTACAACCGGCACAGAACAAAACAGTTTGCAGAACAATGTCTATGAGGGAAGAGAACTGGTCAGTTTGGTTGTAATCAAAGCCCCAGGCAAGAGGTGGCTGTGGCGTGGTAAGAAGTCTTGGGATACAAAGAAGCAGACAAAGAGGCCTGGGTCTCATGAGGGGAAGGGGAGAGGGACCCTCACACAGCAGTTCCCACCATCCCTGGACACTGGCCATGCGGGTGAGTCTGGAGGTGATAATGCTGGCTGCTTCAGTGCCCTGATTTTAGCCACATTATGCCCTCCCTTACTTTCTAAAAACCAAGAGCAGGGGGTGGGGCTGCACAAAAGGTAAGGGCAACCCTTCCCCAGCCCCCTTGCTGCTTGAGGAAAAGGGCCACGAAACATTAATTGAGCTAAGAACGCTGAAGAAACTCCACAAAGAACGGGAGGGGCCCTATGAGGCGCCCAGGGAGAAGGAAGGGCCTTGTCGGGGTCAGGACAAGAGACAGAGTGCTTGAAAAGAAAACTGTGGGGAGAGGAAGCACAGAGGAGCCAAGGAAGGAGGGCTGTGGCAAAACCTCATAGATGATGCAGTATTGTGGGCTGTGTTAAACTAGAATCCGATTATTAACAGATACATGGTTTTTAATTCATATTTTGTATTTTAATGACGTTATACTGGGCTCTGATGGGAGGAAGGCTGGTATGCAAATACAAACAGTAATCATGGTGATGGAAGGGTGGAAGTTCACTGCCAAGAACAGATGCAGGTGGGAGCACTGGACTACTGCCTCCCCCTGCACACACGATAAATGTGAAGAGGTCCACACATATCCCTTCAGTTTCTATGAAAGCTGGAACCCTGTGCAGTTGGGGTTTCAGTTCCTGTGGAAATTATGTCTACACCCCTGGGCATCCACACTCAATGTGTGGACACTGGGGATAGGGGAGGAAACATGACTCTGCTCACTGCATGAATGGAGTTTAATCTGCTTGTTGTGGTTCCTTCTGCCACTGCTGTATTTTGACCTGGCAACCCCAAGAGGGCTACAAGGTCCAAGAAAAGGGGTGGAGGCCTGAATTTGCACATTAAGTTGAGCCAACCAGCTAATGTTTGGCTGCAGGCTTCTAGTATTAATAATAGCCTTCTCACTTGCTGTTTTAGGGCAGAGGGCTGTGACTAAAAGACGACTGAGTGGGGTAGGAGCCTGAGCCCAGGCACAAATCAAGCTTCATCAAAATATAAAGTTCTGTTAGCTGACTTGCTTGGAGTTTTGGTGTTCCCAGAATGGACTATCAGAACTACTGCACAGTGGGAAACTATGGTCCAGAGCAGGGATGGAGACCTCCAGGCGCTCCAGATGCTGTTTGACTACAGCTCCCCTTGACCCTTGCCAGTGGCCATGTTGGCAGGACCGCCCCGGCCCCGGAGGGCCACAGGTGCCCCATCCCTGACTTCGAGGAAACGGCGGCATCTGCCAAAGGCAGCACGAAGAGGACACGCCTCGTTTCTGGGCGTCTTGCCCTGCAGGTTGCAGGCTAGACTGCCAATCCCTTTTCTCCACCATGAATCCTAGAGATCCTTTGGAATCCGGATCTTTCTTCTCTTGTTCCGAGGAGCAGCGGAGCAGAGTCCGATCCCAAGCTCGGGTCTGCAGCCCCACGCGCTCCCACGGCCACGAAGCGCTCGGCTCAATTCTGCTCCGATTTGGGGGGCTTACCTGGCCAGGCAGCCGGCGCGCTCCCCTCCGACGAAGGTGGCCGGCTTCCTCGGCCGCTGCGCGGAGTCAAGGGAGGAGGAGTTGGCGGCCGGGGCGAGCAGCAGCTGCGGAAAGGGAAGAGGAGGACCCGAGCAGACGTCGCCTTCACTCAGAAGCAGGAGACGTTTCTTCGGAGGGAATGATTTCTCCGAGCGAGCAACCCCATCTGTGCCTGCATTTACTCTGATGGGATTTCCTGCCTTTAAAGCGGCGGCTCCAGGAAGGTCTCCTTTCAGCAAGCGCCGCTTTGCATCGCCGCGCCGTCTGGCCGGGAGTCCGCGCTGCTTCCGCGCCCTCCGCTCCGCCTCCCGGCCTGGGCGAGGCTGACCCGGGAACCGAAAGAGGCTGGTTGCTGGGAAGGCGGAAGCGAGAGAGAGGCCTTTGGCCGGGGAGCCGCGCAGCCCTTCCTGCTCCGCCGGGGATTGCTCTCGCCATGGGGGCCGAGCAGAGCGCAGAGGCGGAAAGCCGGCATCCCGAGCCCAGCACTTCAGGTGGGGCTCCCTTTCCTTCCCACCTTCGGGGGTTGCTCTGGGTGCTCTTTAAAAGGGAGCCCGTGCGCACGAGCTGCGCCTCTCCAGGCTGCTGCTCAGGGATGCTCCGCGGTGCAAACCGGGAGAAAGGCTCGCCTTGTCTCGTCTGCTCTCACACTCCCAGCCAGTGAGCCGCATCCCATCAGCTCACTTTGTGGGCAGCGGTGAGACAAACTTGTGGAACTCACGTTTTTAAAATTACTTGCTACGAACTAACGAAGAGATCAGGCGGAGAGGAAAAGGTGTCTCTTCTAGGAGCATTGCCCCCAGTGCTCAAAAGTGGCATCCCTGATCTGCAGCCTGAACTGGTCCTCTCTTCTCTGCTATCTGCCAGCCCGATCACCTTTCATTCTGCTTACATGTGCAGACTGAGCACCATTTTTTATTACAGCCTTTTGCAGAACTTTCCTCTAATTTGTCATTCTCTTTATCTTAGCTGAGTTGACCAGGAAGAGCAAGATAAAATGCCACATTCAGGGCCCAGTCCCATCTCAGGGTCCACTTTACAGCGGACACAGTTCATACATACATTTGCAAGTGACACTTTTTGCAAAGTGATGGGCGTGCATGTAAGAATTGGACCTTGGCCTCCCAAAATAGAAGTTACTAGAACTAGAGACAAGAACAGAAAATGTGCAGTCTAATAAGAAATTAAATTTTACAAGTATTATAGTGAGAAATATATACAGGCAACTCCTGATTTAGTCGCCTCCAAATGATGCATGATGTGCACAGCACCGAACCTGGAAGTCTCCCCGAAACATCATAGAGATGTCATGACAAGGGGCAGAGTGGGCTCCAGAACGGAACTCCCACACAAAATGATGATTGCTTGTAATTCGCTCAGCGGCCTGTTTTGTGAAATCATGGTCTAAAATGGATTTTTGCCTATCTCAAGCAAGCTAGTGTGCGTGGCTAATTCGTGCCCAAACCCCTGCGCCTTGTGCCACAGGGAAGAGGAAGCAACCGACACACTGACTTTGTGTTACATGCAAACCACAGGTGGTAAGCCAAGGTCTGTTCTTGTGGTTTGTTTGGGAGAAGTGCATGTCGCATTATGTCAGGGGTCTGATTGCTCCCTCTCTGTGGCATAGGGAGAAGGGGGTGCGGGTGAATGAACACGGTGCACTGGCATGTTTCACATTTACAATAAACTGTGGTCTGCTTTAGACTATGGATTCAAATTATGTGCAAACCAGGCCAATGGACCTTTCTATCACAGTAATTGAGTGTGTGGGTGTTACACACTGTTAAGTCATTCTTTTTTGCTGGTACCAGATGAAGGGTAATCCTAGGTGTGCTTTGTGCTTCCTTATACTTGACTGGATATTTCCCCCAGCATCTCCTTCACCGGCCAAGCAGCGAGCTAAAATGGATGATATTGTGGTGGTGGCACAAGGGACGCAGTCTTCGCGGAATGTCAGCAATGACCCAGATGTCATTAAGTTGCAGGAAATCCCAACTTTCCAACCCCTTCTGAAAGGTAAGATATTACATGAAAAAATAAGGTTCCCATGTCTGCCCCCCACATTCCCCTTTGAGCCTCCTGGTTCATAACAGTGCCGATTTTTTGATGATCCCATTTTACTCTTCTCATTTGTTTTGTCATGCTGCTATAAAGTGGTAGAGAGAACTGGGTAAAACATAAACATGTTTTAATGTATTGATGTGTTAAAGCTAGTGGTTTGTAGTTTGTCCAGAAAGCAGTTATACTTGTGCTTCTAGTTCTGTTGAGTCATTTTGTTCTGCAGTGTGAAGAGATGAACCTTATGGGAGGCTTGGGATAAGGGTGGAGAACCCTTTTTGGACCCAGGATGCAAGTGGCAGGTGGGTCCACAGGCAAGATTGGGCGGGGAGCAATGAATGTACAGCTTCTACACACACTCCTCTGTTTCTCCTCTATCAAGGCAAGAAAGAAGTATTATTGGAGTCCAAGGACACATTCTAGTTAGGCAAAATCCCTCCAGGAGGGTGCAAAATAGATCTGGGGAGAAGGTGTGTGGCTGAGCAGGGAGGTGTAGCCTTGTGGAGAATTCTGTGTACCAGACAGAGGCCTAGAGCAGTGTTTCCCAACCTTTTTTGGGCAAAGGCACACTTGTTTGATGAAAAAAATCTCGAGGCACACCACCATTACAGCCCCGTGACGTCAGCGCGCAGCGTCACGCCGGGAGGGACGCACGAAAGTGTAACTTTCAATTTTTTCCCCTCCCCCTTGCCGGGGAACCTCCAAGCTTTGGGGGTGGGGGGGGAGGAGGCAGCAAAGCGAGGGACTGAGGGACTCCTCCAACGACAAGGGTTGGGGAAGAAGAGAAAGGGCTATTCCGCTCCAGTCACGGGAGGGGAATATGTACTGGCCCAACTGGTGTGCGGTCTTCGGAAAGCGGGGTGCGGGAAGGAAGCCTAGGCTCGGGGTCATAGAATCATAGAATCATAGAGTTGGAAGAGACCACAAGGGCCATCGAGTCCAACCCCCTGCCAAGCAGGAAACACCATCAGAGCACTCCTGACATATGGTTGTCAAGCCTCTGCTTAAAGACCTCCAAAGAAGGAGACTCCACCACACTCCTTGGCAGCAAATTCCACTGTCGAACAGCTCTTACTGTCAGGAAGTTCTTCCTAATGTTTAGGTGGAATCTTCTTTCTCGTAGTTTGGATCCATTGCTCCGTGTCCGCTTCTCTGGAGCAGCAGAAAACAACCTTTCTCCCTCCTCTATGTGACATCCTTTTATATATTTGAACATGGCTATCATATCACCCCTTAACCTCCTCTTCTCCAGGCTAAACATGCCCAGCTCCCTTAGCCGTTCCTCATAAGGCATCGTTTCCAGGCCTTTGATCATTTTGGTTGCCCTCCTCTGGACACGTTCCAGTTTGTCAGTGTCCTTCTTGAACTATGGTGCCCAGAACTGGACACAGTACTCCAGGTGAGGTCTGACCAGAGCAGAATACAGTGGCACTATTACTTCCCTTGATCTAGATGCTATACTCCTATTGATGCAGCCCAGAATTGCATTGGCTTTTTTAGCTGCCGCGTCACACTGTTGGCTCATGTCCACCGGGCGCAAGGTCCACCGACCTCGGCGGAGAAAGGCAACAACCGGAGCCGATGACCAGTGGCGTAGCGTGGGTTGTCAGCACCCGGGGCAAGGCAAGTAATTTGCGCCCCCTAACCCGTGGATTTTAGCACTCGAGTGCGAGCGCGCCCCCCCCCAGATGTTGCGGCCGGCCCCCCTGCACCCCCCATGCTACGCCACTGGGGCTGGGGGCGAGCGAACGAGCCAAGGACCCCCCAAAGGCTCAGCAGGAATTTATTAAATTTATTATTTGCGGAGCCCCCGCGGGCCGAGGCAGCCGAAGCCCCCTCCCCTTGCGCGCCTCCCCTCCCCCTCCTCTCCTTGGGCTGTAGGTGGAGCCCACGCTCCGAGGCGCTCCAGATCCGGGCTTGGCGAGGGCCTCTCCTCCTCCCGGCCGGGTCCGGGGGCTTCCAGCCGCGCTCCGTCCTCACCCCCCCCCCCGCGGCTGAGACTTGCGCTGAGAGCCGGAGCCAGCGGCGCCCCCTTCCGCCGGGAGACCCTCGCCCGCCCACCGGCTTCCTCTCGGAGGGTTTTGGGGAGCGCAGGGCGCGGCGAGGCCCCTCAGAGCTCTCCTCCCTCCCAGTCGGCAGAAGCAGCCGCCGCCTGTGGCTGGGCCGAGGGGATGGCGTCGGCGTCGGGGTGCGGAGGCTGCCCGTGCCCGGCCAGGCGTCGGTGGCAGCGTCGGCGCTGCTGCAGCGGCTGCTCCTCCTGCGAGCAGTGAGTGGAGCGCAGCCACAGCGGCGGCGGGGGGCGCGCACGCCCTAGGGCGCAAGGCTGGCGGTGGCGGCGGGGAGCCCGGCGGAGGAAGGAACTTGTCCCTTCCCTCTGGACTCGCGCCCCCCCCATGTTGCGCCCGGTGCGGCCGGCACCCCTGGCACCCCCCACGTTACGCTACTGTGAGGGGCGCCGCGTCAAGGGCGCCGGCGGGCGCAGCGGCAGCTCCTGTCAGGGCACGAGGCGGGCCCAGCGCCTCTCCCCCACCCACCCCGTCCGCCCACCCATATCCCGCTCAGGAGGGGCCGGTGGGCTGGCAAGCGCCTCACAGCAGCAGCACCAGAGAGGGAGAGAAGTCCGCCTCCCGCTGCCGCCGCCTCTTCATCCCCAGCAGCAACTTCCCTGCCCGGCTCCCCGCCGCCGCCGCCTCCTTCTCTCCCTGCTTTGCAGTAGCAGCCGCCGCCGCCGCGGCACACCAGGCAACATCTCGCGGAACACTAATGTGCCGCGGAACACCGGTTGGGAAACACTGGCCTAGAGTGCTGCATTTGGAACCTAGGCATGAGGCTTCCCACCCCGGCCTAGGAATAAACTGGGAAACAGTAGTGCTTTAGTTAAGATGGTATTTTGATGCCCATTATCTCAGACTAGGCAACCCCTTGTTCATAATCTGACAGTAAATTCAGTAAACGTTGCTCTTCATTTTTGGGTGCCTGTACTGCCTGCCTGCTTGCTTCTGCACTCTTTCAACATCATCTTGATCTGTACATTGGTAAATAAAATGGCAGTTTTCCAGTTTTCTCCATGCCAAAGAGGGGGAACTTAAAAGACCGGGATTTGCTTTTTGAAAACGGTGTGGAAGTAATTTTAAAATTTGAGTCCATGGGTCCCTTGACCAACTACCTTCTTTCTGTGGGGCACAGGAGCCCAGTTATGTCACCCCTTGCCTGCAGAGCTGGCAGCCCGTCAAGCCTTTTTGAACACCCTCCATTGTGGAGTGTTCCCTCAGCCTCCTCTCCCCTCTACTTGGAAGTCCTCCGGGCAGCTGCAGCTGCTGCTCCTGGTCTCTGAGTCCCCCCCCCCCCGGCCCCAAAGACAGGTGCCTCCTCACACTGCCCCACAGGGGCCAGGGAAGAGGATGCCCCCAGCCTTAGTGGCCCAATGGAGACTGGCCAAAGGTGAATGTGAGGCCAGCACTTTGCCCAGGGAGGCAGCAGGGGCAGCAGAAGGTACTGCCAGGCCTGCATGGCGTAAAGGCTCCCCTTCAGCTCCCAGGCAGGCTTTGTACACAGCAGGCGAAAGAAAGGCCAGCGCAGCACCTGCCTGCCCAGCCTCCCACTTGTCTGTCCATTCCCAACAGCAAGGGCTGGCGGGCTGGGCTCCCTCACCCATTTGCTTGCTTACTCCAAGGCCACCTCAGCTCCCGGCAGCCAGCACCCCATGGTCCGGGCTGCTGCAACAAACAGCCACACAAGCCTTTGGGAGGCAGACATGCGAGGGCATCACAGGAGGGATGGAAGGAGAGAGGGACAGAGGCCAATGTTGCCCGCGGCACCCCTGACCAGCATTCAAGGCACCCCAAGGGTGCCATTGGCGCACTGGTTGAAAACCACTGTTTTAGGCAATCCATATATACTGACATCTGGTGCCTGTTGGGAAACACTTCAGCGAGTGTACCTTGTTTATTTATTTTGCTTATTCACCAAAATTTATATACTACTTGCTTGTAATAAAACTTCTAAGCATTTTACAAAAAATAGTGAGGCATTTTGATTTGGGAATCTGCATTATTGTTATGTTATTGAAACACTAAGATGTGAGTGAGTTTATTTTGTATTTTACTAACAGTCGGAACAGGATGAGTATATAATAGGAATATTCTATTGTGCATGGAATATACAACATAAATGGTAGAAGCATAATTGGAAACACAGCATTTATTAAATGTTCACAAAAACTAGAGCTCGGGGAAAAGTGCACAGCTATTTTCTCTGCAAGCTGTTCAGGAGGCCAGGCCTCAAACATGGGCTGGTTCTGGTAACCAGCTCTTGCTTCCAGTAGGCAATGCCTCCACAAAGGCAGGAAAGTTCGTTCCTTTTTGTACCTGCTACCCAGGGAGACAGTTTTGGAGGGGAGAAGTGGCAGGCGTCATGTGAGTGTACACCACCCTGAGCATGTTGGAGAAAAGGAGGGATATGCAATCAATCAATCAATCAATCAATCAATACTGGACTAAGTCAGTGGTTTGACTCTGTACAAAACTCCTTCATATGACCTTTGCATCATTGTGTCTGGCGGCAAGAACAGGAGTCCAATGCAAGTTTAAGACTCCATTAAACTAAAAATAATTTGTGTGGAAGTAAGCACAGTTGAGCATTTTTCCTTTATTGTTGCACATTTGCTGTTTTTTTCTTCATCTGCTCTCTAGCTGCATTACCAAGCAGAGACATTTTCCTCTTTGTTCTGAGGAATCTTCCTTCTCAGTCAGTGGGAAGTTAGAGTAAGCCCTGACAGGAACTCTCTCTCTCTCTCTCTCTCTCTCTCTCTCTCTCCCTCCCTCTCCCCCCCTCTCTCTCCCTCCCCCCCCCGGATCTCCACCCCTGAGTCTTTCAGTTACCTAACAGTGATCACATTTGGCAAAGAGCCACACTATTATTTTAATTGCATCAGGGTTTTTTTTAAAAAGAGGCCTGTA